CACCATTCTCTCCTTCCCTCACTCACCTCTCCTTCCCCCCACCACTCACCTCCTTCCCCTCACCACTCTCCTTCCCCTCACTCACTCTCCTTCCCCCACTCCTCTCCTTCCCCTCACACTCTCTCCTTCCCTCACCACCTCCCACCTGAGGTTTCCAAATACTAGGGTAAAGACATTCTGAGGTGATCTGTTTCTTCTGAGATAACAACATGTTGATGTGAGGTGTGGTGTGTCGGGAGGTGATGGAGTGTCTAGCCTCTGTGGTATATATATATATATATTATTCTGACCACACCTTCTGGGTCTGACCACACCTTCTGGGTTTGACCACATTTCTGGGTCTGACCACACCTGTTTGACCACACACCTTCTGGGCTTGACTACATTTTCTGGGTCTGACCACACCTGGGTTTGACCACACCTTCTGGATTTGACTACAACTTCAGGGTTTGACTACATTTTCTGCATCTGACCACACCTTCTGGGCTTGACTACATTTTCTGGGTCTGACCACACCTGAGTTTGACCACACCTTCTGGATTTGACTACAACTTCAGGGTTTGACTACATTTTCTGCATCTGACCACACCTTCTCGGTTTGACCACACCATCTCATCATTCTGACCACATCTGACACTAGGATTTAATTTTTCGAGTTTTTATATATTTTGTATAATTATGTAGATTGGAAAGATTTAATAATAATAATAATAATAATAATAATAATAATAATAATAATAATAATAATAGAGAAAAAAACATCACAACTTCCTAGGAGTGAGTGGGTGAAAAAGTATGTACGTGAGAGTGTGTGTGTCTGTAAGTGCGTCTGGGCCAATAGGATTCTCCCATTTACCGTTAACAACCAGACCTTTAATACAACTATAATTGGGCAGTTCATATCTTTAAGCTGATACTGACGATGCACTATCTATCTATCTTGTGGACGAAGAAGAGAATGCGTCTTTCTTCACCTGAAACCGTCGTAGTTATTGAAGTATTTGTGTATAAAGTCAATATTAACGAAGCCTCACCAATCACCCACTATCACCAACACCATTATCACCATCAATACCATACCACCACCATCACCTACCACCACCACTATCACCAACACCATTATCACCACCAATACCATACCACCACCATCACCTACCACCACCAACACCATTATCACCACCAATACCATACCACCACCATCACCTACCACCACCACTATCACCAACACCATTATCACCACCAATACCATACCACCACCATCACCTACCACCACCACTATCACCAACACCATTATCACCACCAACACCACCACCACCCACCACCTTCCACCACCACCACTATCACAACACCATTATCACCGCAATACCATACCACCACCATCACATCACACCACTATCACCAACACCATTATCACCACCAATACCATACTACCACCATCACCTACCACCACCACTATCACCAACACCACTATCACCACCAATACCATACCACCACCATCACCTACCACCACCACTATCACCAACACCATTATCACCACCAATACCATACCACCACCATCACCTACCACCACCACTATCACCAACACCATTCACGCACCACCAACACACCACCACCACCGCCACTCCAGAACGTGGTGGACAGGCCAAGGTTGTCCCGTCCTGGGTCCGACCCTTAATTTAGGCCAGGGACAGCCCTTACGTAACGACCGTAAACACTCAGGCTTACCCACGTACAACACACGTCTCCAACCTGATTTATACCTCTAGTGACGTCATAATTCGTACTATCCTCTAAACGGAACGCCTCTGAGTGTGTAGCTCTTCTCTAACACTTAAATCAGGGCAAAACGAATTCTTTTTTATTTACAACGACTATTTTGTCCCCTTTGTTTTCGTTAATCTTTTGGAAGAATTAGTAATTTGTTTACAGTGAATGGCAGAAAATTGTTATTGTGTATCTAGCAAATTTTATGTGTTGGTGATGCTCGATAAGTTTAGTTTGATGAGTTTTTTAAAGTTCCCTTGGGTAGAGGGGTAATGGTGGCAGGAAATAGTTGAGAGGAAGTGGTGGAAAATAGTCCCTGTGTATCTGCCAGAGGAAGGTGTTAGTGGCTGGCTGGCTGGCTGGGTGTACTCTTGTCGTCCACCTGATGCTCACAGTACCTGGCAACTCGCCCGACGTTACCCCGATACGGGTTTTCCGCATATATTTTTAACAATACTCGCTAACTTTCTTCTAAAAATTCCCCCCCAAGTCACGCATTTTTATTCTCTAGTTTATATTCATTATTAAATCGCTAGTCGTCCACGGTAGCGATAAACAAAGGTACTTTATCGTTCACACACTCCGACGTCCATTATGCAGTACAATAGGTACTTTTATGTAAGAAATTATCGATGAGCGACTTTTTTTTTTACCAAGAAGAATATATATGTGTGTGTGTGTGTGTGTGTGTGTGTGTGTGTGTGTGTGTGTGTGTGTGCGCGTGTAGTTATCCCTGTAGCGGTGAAACAAGTCTCCTCTCCTTAAGTGGTTCATGTGATGTGAGAATTATGCTAGTAACTGGGCAGCTGAGAGCGTCATTCCTGCGCCAGCCTCCGACATCTTAGCCTCGCCTCCAGAGTCCTTCCCTCCCCTTGTGCTGTGTTTACCGCCGCCACGGGGGTAAAAACCTGGCTGGGCGAACGGATTTTCAAGAGCGCGTACTGTAAAGAATGTCTTAATTTCTCTCGTTTTACTTCAACCCAACTCTAAAATGGTTGGACGCGGAAGGAGAGAGGAGTATAAATGGATTAGAGTCAACTGCCTACATTAGCTGAGGTTAGGGAGTATCTCTCACTTAATCTTGGTAACACTGCTGAGGTTAGGGAGTATCTCTCACTTAATCTTGGTAACACTGCTTCACTTTTCATATCAAACATAATTTCTTTATCTGTTTCTTCACTAGTTATTCACTCATTTTCTTCACTAGCTATTTACTTCTCTTCTTCACTAGTTTTCTTCATGAGCAGCAGACCATCTTGTGTCTCTCACTGCCTTGACCCCGAGTGACCTTTGGTTTTTATACAGATAGAAGGAAAAATCCCATCTCTACCCCCAGCATGGCTTACTCCCCCACCCCATCCCACCCCTTCCACAAAACACATTCCATCTCTACCTCTCACTACCTGACTTAACCAAGACCTCCTCACCCCTACAGAAGGAGGAGTGCCCGCGGCGGCTGGTAGCATGTCAGCACTGCGAACTCGAGGTAGCATCGGCAGAGTTAGGGCGTCATCTCGAGTACTGTGAGGCCAGGACGGAGCGTTGTAAAGGCTGTACCAAGTACGTCCAGTTTAAATACCTTCAGTTTCACTACGAGAATGACCACAAGTATCTCAAACCCGAGGATAAAGGTGAGTGTTACTGTTACGTGTCTTAGTGTTACTGTTTTTGTGTTACTGTTACTTTTCTGTTAGCGTTAGTGTTGCTGTTTTATCCTGTTACTGCATTTCTTGTCACCTTTTACACCTCTTCATTACCTTGTATCTCTAGTATCATCTCTTCTCTGTGTCATTCTTCTCTTTATCTCCTCGTCTTCCTCTCATAATCGTCTTCCTCTTCCTCCTCCTCCTCCTCCTCCAGCGGATAAGAATGGCTCAGATGACGAAGGCGCAGAAGAGTGTCCCATCTGCCTCGGACCAGTGACTTTGCCCCTGGCTCTGGAGTGCGGCCACACCTTCTGCATGGTCTGTGTTAAGGGCATCGCCAACACCACCAAGAACTGCGCCATCTGTAGGAGGGACATACCCAGGGACATGTTGATGGATATAAGGTGAGATAATAGTGAGGGGGAGATATTGCCCTGAGAGATATTACCCTGGGGAATACTGAGAGATATTACCCTGGGGAATACTGAGAGATATTGCCCTGAGAGATATTACCCTGGGGAATACTGAGAGATATTGCCCTGAGAGATATTACCCTGGGGAATACTGAGAGATATTGCCCTGAGAGATATTACCCTGGGGAATACTGAGGGATATTGCCCTGAGAGATATTATTTTGGTATAAATTGGGAGACGTTGTTCTACCACCAACCACACCACACTTACTACCATCAACCACACCACATTTACTACCACGACCACGCCTACCATCACCACACCACACCACACCACACCTGCCATCACCTGCCATCTACCACCTTACACCTTCCTTTATTAACAGGTTCTGCCGGGAGGAGGACATCATCAAAAACTATGTCAACAAACCCAGGAATAAGAAGAACACCCGCAGCCACAGTGTACCCAGCCGCACCTCCTCCTACACCCCCACTACACCCAGACGCCTCAACCACCACACCACTCAGGACTATGACGGTAACCTGTTCTGTTCTCTTTTTTATTTTAGATTTTGTTTTTCATTTAGATTCTAATTCTAATTTAGATATTAGAATTTGTATGCCCTTAAGTTCTTGTAGGTTTGAGATACTAATTCAACGTTTTGAGGGGAGTCTTTTAGCAGGCCTCTCAAATTTTGTTTATGCCGGCCTTCCTTCCACCCTGGCTCTCCTACCCTCACTTTTACCCATTAGCATATCTACCGCATTATCTCCTCACATCTTAATCCCCTTCAGAAATAGAACCTCCAGTCAACAACACAAGATCTTATAACCTTTAAGTGTTAATCTTTGTGGAATGTTCGTTCATTAATCCACCAGAGAGTTTGACCTCACTGTCACCACTCACCTTGACGTCTTTTCCCCTCTCGAACTTATTATCGTCGTGTGGATATCTGTGACAAGTATAGGTGTGGCCAGAACTACCAAGTGAGAATTGCTTCATAACCCCGACACACAACAAAGACTCCTCACCCAACAGCGAACGTTAATATGTCTCACCAACAATAAGGGGCAACTTCACCCTGAACGTGGGATGTTCCGTATTATGAGGTGTCCTTACTGAGGATCGAAGCTCTTTACTTCCTCTCTCATCTCTTCTTTCTTCCTCCTCTCTCTCTCTCTCCTTCCTTCCAACTCCCCTTCCCTTCATCCCTCCTCTTTCTCACATTCCACCCTTTTTTCCTGAATCCTCCTCCTTTCCTTTTATCCCTCCTCCTTCCCTTATGTCCTTTCCTTATCTCACCCCCTTCCCTACCTTCATCCACTCCTCTCCTTCCCTTCCTCTATGCCCCTTTCCTTTGCCTCCATCAGTCCCCTTCTTTCTCTCTCTCCATTAGTCCCCCCTCCTCCTCCTCCTTCTCTCCCTGTATTACAGTATCATAAACAGGTATATGAAGTGCATTTCTTGGTGCCATTTTTTGGTTGTTGGCAGAGGAGTTTGGTGGTGTTGTCAGAGTTTGGTGATATTGGCAGAGTTTGGTGATGTTGTCAAAGTTTGGTGATGTTGATATAGTTTTGGCTGATGTTGGCAGATTATTACTGGTCTCTCCAGATTGAATTTTAAATAAATATTCACAAACACTCTGGGAACAAGCCAGATATTTGATCTACAGTAACGACTCATGAATATTTAATAGATTTTCATCCCATTCAGCAGGAACTTTTCACACACGCTAAGGATCCGCTACAAAGTTATCTTTACCCTTAATGGTCAGATGATCATGATGCAATGGTACTAATGTTTCTTGTGTAACTTTATCCCCTTGAGAACAGTAATTAAACCTTTTGAGCATGTTGATTTAACCTTTTGAAGACACTGGCTTAACCATTGGAGGATAATTGTATAACCTCTAAGGACAGTATTTAAACCCATTGTGAACGATATTTTTAAGTTATACTCATCAGGGCTTAAAGCCACTGTTCTCAAAGGGTTAAATAATTGATTTTAAAGAATTAAAGCACAATCCTTAAAGAGTTAAACATTATCTTCAAAGGGTTAAAACATTGTCCTCGGAGGGATAAATCTTCATCCTCTCAAAGGGTTAAGGTTGACAGCAATTAGTCATTTTTGTCATTCTTACAGATATGGTCTCGGCTCTTCTCTCCACCCGCACCTCCTCCACGTCTTACCGGTACCAGCGGCCTGCCAATACCCACACTCCTCCCTCCTACACCCCTTACTCCTCTTCCTCCACTACCAGCACCACCACCTCCACCACCTCCTGCCAGGACTCCTGCAAGGACTCTGATAAAGAGTCCGTCAAGGATGATGACTGCTGCTGTTCCTCCTCCTCCACCACCTCTACATCGCCCTCTTCCTCCACGACTTCCACTGCCACCTCAACCAGCGCCTCCTCCTCCATCTGCGCCATCACCACCACCACTTCATCCTCGGCCTTGAAGCCCTCATCTACCACCTCCTCATCAAGGACGGCCACCAACTCCTCCTCAGCAAGGTCTTCCAACTCCGTCTCCTCCTCCAGCAACAGGATAGTGTCATCCTCCAACAACAGGTCCACCACGTCCTCAGACACAAGGTCCACCTCCACCGCCAACCAGTCCGAAACAAAGTCTTCCATCTCAACCAGTACCTCGTCCTCCTCTTCCACCACTACCTCCTCCTATTCCGCCTCCAATGGTGCCCGGCCCAGGAGACCCACGTCTCTGGCCCTGGAGACATTCTCTGTACTGTCAGCCCTCTCCAGCTCCGTCAGTTCAGGCACCACCACCACCACCACCTCGGCCAGCGCCTCGTCCCGCTCCTCTGGTGAGTCAACACGGTGAGGTCCCGTCTGCCTCCTTTATTCTCTCTCTCTCTCTCTCTCTTTAAATGACTAAAATTATTGTTAATTATTCAGTAAACATTTTCTGCCTCTTAATCAAACGTCTGTAAACATTTCTCTCTTTGAATTATTTTCACGTGCTAAATTTCTTACCTTCTGAAATATTCTACTTTTTTACATGAATTAGCAGTGATGTGCAATGTTGTGAAGAACGTGGTTAATTGTTCCTTGTTGTCTTTTACTTCCTTACTCTTTTTTCATAATTATTTTATTTCTTAGCTTTGTTTCTCATCGTAAATTTCAACTTTGACAGTTCTGTATTTTACTTTTTTTTTATTTATTTCGATGCGAATTTTTGAGTTTCCCAAATTAATGTTATGGATATTTTTTTCGAGCTTTTATTTTTGTTTTCTTTATACCTTATATAAATATATTTTAGTCTTTGTTTCCGTGTTGTGCAGCGCATTAGTCTCACTTGTTGCTGTGTCCCTCAGGTCCTAACAGCAAGGAGCCACCCAAGAATGCGACCCAAGAGGAGTATGACAGATGGCTCGCCTTCCAGCTGGCTAAGGCTGAGGATGACCTTCCACCATCTGAGTTCAACCGCAAGCATCGACCGACCTTCAGGCGGTCACTCTCCATGCCTGAACGTGCGGTGAGTTCTTTCTTTTGTTTAAAACGTCGAGTGTGAGCGTATGTACGGTTGTTTATGAGTGCTTATATATACTTTAAGTACACACGCATGTATATATTTATATATAGATAATGACTGACACTCAAACACACGCACATGTATGTATAGATATTGAAATACACTAAACATACACAAACCCACACTTGAGCGCCCTAATAATGTCACCTAGAACTCGGGCAGCTGACGAATGCATCTTCCGCCCCTCCAGCAGGCGTCTTCAGACAGCAGTAGCAGCAGTGACTCTGAGGACTCCGACTCTCCCTCCTCCAGGGGCAGTTCCCGCCGCCCTCCAGCCTCCCCTAGGAATGCTGCGGCCTCCTCTTCGTCCTCTTCTTCCTCCTCAGCCTCCTCTTCCAGCAGGAGTACCCCCATTAGCAAGTCTTCCAGTGACTCCAACGCCGCCACCAGCAGCAGCAGCAGTAGCGTCCTCAGCACCGGCGCCAGACCCAAGAACACCGGCCTGAAGAAGAGAGTTTCCTTCAAGGAGGACACGGTAAGTGGCTTCTGTTTGACTATAATAACAAGAGTTCAGAGGCAGTGAACCGTCCATGTGAGTGATCGAGCTGGAAGTTTTGATCATGAGGCAATATTTATGGTGTTAGTTAACTAGTTGTATTGTCCTTCCAGCCTCCAGTACGTCGCGAGGCCCCCGTCATGCTGCCCTGTGAGTTCTGTGACGAGATGTTCCCTGAGAGAGACCTCATGAGACATCAGACCAGCTGTGAGCAGAACGAGACGCAGCTGCCTCGAACATCCCGTCTTGCTCAGCGGTCGACGGCAGCCACCACAGCTTCCTCCAGCTCTACCACCATCACAGCCAGCATCAACAGCAGTAGTAGTAGGGTCACTTCAGTCAGTTCATCTTCTAGTGTTACAGGCCAGACGTCGTCAGGTCCACCAAGAAGCGCAGGACCAGCTTCTCCAGCACCGAGAAAAACTACAGGAAGAACGCCCACCCCAGTGTGTACACCGCCGAGGAAGAGCATCGCGCCTAACCCCTCCTCCATTCCACCCAAATCCTCAGACTCAGGTTCATCTGGGAACAGAAAAAGCCCCGCACCCATACCCCCGAGAACTCCCGTGTCCCCTACCAGGAGGAGCCCCACGCCCACATTTGCGAGTGTGAGGAGCCCGACGTTCAGTCCACCTCCCAGTTGTCCTCCGTCAGTCAGCCCGCCACCAGCCAGTTCTCCGGCCACCACCACCATCACCATCGTCGACCAGCCGCCGTCAGTGGTGGTGTCACCCAGCCTCAGCTCCGGCAGTAGTCGTCCCTTCAGCGTGAGTCCAGCGCCCAGCGGGTCAACCAGCAACAGTTCAGTCAGCAGCAACTCCGTGTCAACAACTCCGTCGACGAGCAGCTCCGCGTCTCCCGTGCCAGCAACCACACCCAACAGGGAACTGGCTCCCCCAGACACTCCCACTACTGACGTGGAGCTCGACTATGACGACGAGGAGGGCCCTTATATGCGTCCTCGCCGAGGTCGACTTCTTTCCTCAGCCATCTTCTCCTGGCGGAGCATCTCTGCTACCGGCGCCGCCAACAGAAGGGGCTACGTGCGCTCCAACACTGCCCCACTGGAGGACACCGGAGTAGACGACGACACGCAGCAGGTACAACCTGTGACCACCAGTCGCTCTGCCACACAGCTGCCGGCCTCCCACAGTACAGACGCCGACACTCCCTCACCACAACCCACCAAATCTTCTCAAGTAAAACAAATTTCGCCCGTGCCACAGCCGGCGCCCGTCCAGGACCACGCTGAACCTGTCTTTATTAAGAACCCGAACAAGTACCGTGCGCCGCCACCCCCACAGTCACCACCCAAGGTATCATCACCACCACCACAGCAGCAATACAAGTCGTCAACAACCTCCTCTTCACACACTCAAACGAACGGCTACGTCAAGAGCCCAACGCCTTCAGTCAAGACAGCAGTGTCTCAGGAAAAACCTCAAGTGAACGGCCACGTAAATGGCTTCATCAAGTTCGACAGTAAACCTATGATGAATGGCCTCGTCCCCAAGGAGATGCTCGATGTCATCCCGTGCGAGTTCTGTAAACAGGTCTTCTCTCCGGAGAAATTTCAAAGCCATCAGGTAAGTTGTGAACGTGAAGTGCAAACAAGTTTTTGTTCTTGTATAACAGAAGTAATCCTATCCTATACTTTACCCATTATACTTATTTATACTTAAATATTCTTCTATGTATTAAATGTTATTAGTGTAACTGAATATGATGTGTAACAGTAATCATTATATTATGTAAGTGTGATTCAACATGATGTTTATTGTTGTGGTTCAGACCATGTGTGAGGCGACATACCGGCCACCAGTCCTGCGACCCACCTCGCCCCTGGACCAGTCCACCACGCAGAAGAGGAAGAGTCCGATCCCCGCCAGGCACAACAAGGGTCCAGCTCCTCCGCCTCCTGACGACATCATCATCACAGACGCCACCAAGACCTCCAGCACCTACGAGACCTCAAAGACCTCTGACACCTCAAAGAAGTCCTTCACTTCAGACACTGCAAAGACCTCCTCCTCTTCCTCGTCTTCCTCCACTTCTTCAGACACCCGGAAGTTTTCCTCCTCCTCCATCACCAGAAACCGAATGGAAAGGTCAGAAAATATTCTCCTTCGATATGGTTTGTCCACAAACAAAGATTTAACCTTCTTGAGAGTAGGGACTTCTCTCAGCTGAATAAAATCGTCTGGCGTAAGTCACAATAAAATACCTCAGGGCTACTTGCCATTTAAAGGGTTAATAAAGGAGGAGACAGGGTAAACGCCTGCCTCAACACTAATGATCCAGTAAACAAATTCTTATTAACTAACTCAACAAACCCAATAGTAGCCAGAAGAGTCTCTCATCTGACGAGTCTCTCCTATCTCTCACCTTCATCTCTCAGTCACAAGTCACGTTTACAAGGGTTCACAGTTGAGAGAATAATTATGTGTTCGGACACCGCCTATTTCCCTTAAGTTGTGAGTGACACATAGTTGTTGTTAGATACATAGATGGATGAAGATTGGTGATGAACAGACAGTTGGATAAATAGATAGATAAATGTATACATACATTCATATGTTGAGAGATAGATAGAGAACTGGATAACTATGTAACTCATGGTGTGTGTGTTGGTGTGGACAGGTCACAGTCAGTCCTGGACGACAGGATCTCGTACAGTGAGAAAGTCCGCGTCAGCCGCCGTCTGGAGCGAGCGTCCAGCATCTCCAGGTCTTACTACACCTCCAGCCCAAGCCCGAGTCTGGGGCGGCGCTGGAGCTCCCGTGAGGTCCTGCACAGCAACGGTGTGGAGTCCCCGACGTCTTATGCGTCCAGCAGCGGCGGGTGGGGCAGCAGCACTAGCAACCTCGTCTGCAGCACCAACACCTTCACGTCAGGTCGCGGCTGGTCCTCACACCTCAACATGGTGCGTGATGATGTAAGATCCCGCGCCGCCGCCGCCAGTGCCGCCGCTGCCGCCAGCGCCGCTGCTGCTGCCGCCTACTACGGTGAGTCTTGAGGGAGTGTGGAACACCACCCAACCTGTCCTTCATCCCAGCTGCCTAACATGACGTCCTGACATGTTTAGTACACCCTCAGTACCTCACTCACCCCAAACAATAACAATAACACACTAACGTTATGACAGACGCTGTTGGTGTGTCTCAGTGTTAATCAGAGAGAGAGAATTAAATAAATAACCTGACCATTGTCTAATATACATAACCATGAAAAATATTTATGTAATTCTAAAAGTAAATTACAAAACTTAATTACATATAAGAGAAAATAATCATCACTTTACTCCCGCGGTCACTTGACAATAAGAGTACAGTATTTCTCTCACTCAGAATGGAAGCAGAGGAATGATAACAACTTTTATCGAGGTGAATTACAGTCCAATAAATTTCTGTATAACTCTTTGTGCCGTGAAAATTACAGCGACAGGAGTTATCTTAATTACAGGAAATTGTTGTTGTATTTCTACCTGTAGTTATGTTAGAAAGATTAAGAGAGTGAGATGAGGGATAGGTGGGTGCTGCCTTGTCACGTCACACACCCAAATGTAAACAAACCTTAATATATTTCCTACCTGGACCTGAGTTGTTGAGTGTTCATTGGTTATAGTCTTCCCTAACTGAATACTGATTGGTTATAATCATCCCTAACTTAACTTTCATTGGTTATCATCTTCCCTAACTGAATACTGATTGGTTATAATCATCCCTAACTTAACGTTTATTGGTTATCATCTTCCCTAACTGGATATTAAAGAACATATAACTATGATTTTTAACAGCTGTCTGTGTTAATTGTAAGAATAGTTTAACAAAGTATTTAGTCATTTTTTCCTATATTTTATTATTTTTTGACAAAGTTTTTAAATATATTTTTACGTAGAATTTAATTAATATTTTATTATAGTATTATAATAACAAGCACATAGAGATAGAATGAGTTTACGTCAGGCGATGCTGATTGCCCGTGCTGGCGTTGTGCTTGTAGTAAGGGTCTTAGACTTTGTTATATATAAAAAAGTAGTGATATTTTCCTGTTGATTTTATAGTTAGTTATAAAAGTAGTGATAATTTATATATTTTATTTGTTTAACTTATTTATTACTTTACTTGTATCTTTTTGAGACCTTTAAATTTTCTTAACATTAATCAAGACGAGAACAGAGACAGTCATCATCATCATCATCATCTTCATCATCATCTTCATCATTATCATCATCATACAGGCTGACCTAGACAACAGGGGGTGGGGGGGGGAGGTGATCACGTGACTGAGGTAATCTTCTTCCAGAGGACGAAGTTGACCTTGATAATGGTGTGGAGACAGAGATTGGTAGAGAAATTAGCCAATCACAAGCCACCAAAACACTGCTGGGTGAAATGAGCCAATCACAAGCCACCAACACACTGATTGGTGAAATGAGCCAATCACAAACCAGTAGAAGTACTAAACAATCGGTATTCGGCGAAATGAACCAATCAAAAGCCAGCAGAAGTATCAACCAATCGGTATTCGGTGAAATGAGCCAATCAAAAGCCAGTAGAAGTATTAACCAATCGGTATTCGGTGAAATGAACCAATCACACGCCAGTAGAAGTATCAACCAATCAATGCTAAGCGAAATGAACCAATCACAGGGCGGCAGAAGTGTCAGCCAATCAGTGCTGTGCGAGACGAGCCAATCACAAGCCAGCAGCTGCAGTAACAACCAATCGCTGTGGAATGATGTAGAGGAGGCGCTGAACAAGACGGGAATTACCCACACTGCTGTCCACAATGGTAAATTAGGACCCCCAAAGACCTCCCAGCCCCTCCAGCCCCCAGCCCCCAGCCCCCAGCCCCCAGCCGCCAAAGACCCCAAGTCCTCAGAGGCCCTCAGTAACCTCCCAAGAATATCCAGCCCCCCATAAGATCCCCCGGGTCCCCCAGGACTCCTAGAGACATCTTCAGGGCCCTGGAGACATTCTCAGGGCTCCCAGAGAAATCCTCAGGGCCCCTAGAGACATCCACAGGGCCCCCAGACTCCCCCAGAACTCCTGGAGACATCTTCATGGCCCCTAGAGACATCCTAAGGGCTCCAGAGACCCCCGGGACTCTTAGAGGTATCCTCAGGGGCTCAGAGACATCCTCAGGGCCTCCAGAGACATCCTCAGGGCCCTAGAGACATCCTCAGGACCCTAGAGACATCCTCAGGGCCTCCAGAGACATCCTCAGGGCCCTAGAGACATCCTCAGGACCCTAGAGACATCCTCAGGGCCCCCAGAGACCCCCGGGACACCTCTAATTAACCTTGTGGTACAGCATGGCGTTTTCTTTTCCCTCTCCTCCTCTTCCTCATTGTCTGAATCCTCTTTCCATTTTCTGTGGCTTAATTTCCCATTTTCTTTATTATTGAGACGTAATTCCCGTCCTGTTCGGATCCTTTCCCCCGTTTTCTGTGCCCTCAATCCTGTTTGCGTTTCCTGATTCCGTTTTCTGTCGTTGATTCCCGTTTGTAATGCCTAAGGACCCATTTTCTGTCGTTAATTCCCATATGTATTGCCTGATTCCGTTTTCTGTCGTTTATTCCCGTGTTCTATGATGTAAATTTCTGTGTTCTACATTGTGGTTATTGACTATAATCGGTCTTTCGTTTTCTGTTGACTGGTGTCTACAGAATAATAAATATGTCTCGTTTAACTGTCAACATGGGCATTATCTTGAGTAAAGTAGCCCAATGAAGTAGCCCAGGTAAAGTAGCCCAGGTAAAATAGCCTAGATAAAGTAGCCCAAGTAAAGTAGCCCAGGTAAAGTAGCCCAGGTAAAGTAGCCCAGGTAAAGTAGCCTAGATAAAGTAACCCCAATGAAGTAGCCCAGGTAAAGTCGCCCAGGTAAAGTAGCCTAGATAAAGTAACCCCAATGAAGTAGCCCAGGTAAATTAGCCTAGATAAAGTAGCCAAGGTAAAGTAGCCCAGGTAAAGTAGCTTAGATGAAGTAGCCCAGGTAAAGTCGCCCAGGACTAATTACGGTTGGTGTGTTACAGGTGGCGCCAGGTACAGGGAGAGGAGCAGCAGTAGACCTCGACCGTCCTCAATGTACAGTACAAGGTGAGGGCAATGTACACCTTCCCTCTCATGTACACCAACTAGTATTGTACACCTTCCCTCTCTTGTACACCAACTAGTATTGTACACCTTCCCTCTCATGTACACCAACTAGTATTGTACACCTTCCCTCTCATGTACACCAACTAGTATTGTACACCTTCCCTCTCATGTACACCACTAGTATTGTACACCTTCCCTCTCATGTACACCACTAGTATTGTACACCTTCCCTCTCATGTACACCACTAGTATTGTACACCTCCCCTCTCATGTACACCACTAGTATTATACACCTTCCCTCTCATGTACACCACTAGTATTGTACACCTTCCTCTCATGTACACCACTAGTATTGCACACCTTCCCTCCTCATGTACACCAACTAGTATTGTACACCTTTTCTCTCATGTACACCACTAGTATTGTACACCTTCCCTCTCATGTACACCACTAGTATTGTACACTTCCTCTCATGTACACCACTAGTATTGTACACTTTCCCTCTCATGTACACCACTAGTATTGTACACCTTTCCTCCTCATGTACACCACTAGTATTGTACATCTTCCCTCTCATGTACACCAACTAGTATGTACATGTCTTTCTATGTACACTCCTATATAGTACACAATTTCACTCATTCTCTTTCACTTATTTACATTGTATTTCTCTTTCTCATTCTGTCTCTAACTGTAACACACTCATTTAATCTCACTCACTCACTCACTCGCTCACTCACTCACTCACTCGCTCACTCACTCACTGCTCACCACTGCCTCACTCACTGCCTGCTCACTACTCACTCGTTTTCACACACATTTCACTGCACTTCCCACTTCACTCACTACTGCTCACTGTCACTCACTACCACTCCTCACTCGCTCACTCACTCACTCACTCACTCACTCACTCACTCTCTGCTCTCCTCGACAGTGATTCCTGGGGATCAATGTATGACCTCCACTCTCCCTCACGACAGTTCAACATCTCGGACGCTTTCTCATCCGCTTCTCTCGCCTGCAAGGTAAGACCGTCACCCGTCACCCGTCACCCTCCACTAACGTCACACTACACCCTCACACTGAACCGTCACACTCCACCCTCACACTCCACCCTCACACTGCAACTGCCACACTGCACCTCACACTGTACCGCCACACTGCACCCCTCAAGCACACTCCACCCTCACCCCACCCTCACACTGCACTCCCCACACTCCACCCTCACCTCCACCTCACACTCCACTAACGTCACACTCTCCACCCTCACACTCCACCCCTCACACCACTCCACCTCACACCTTCCACCTCACACTGCACCATCACACTGCACCCCTCACACTCCACCCTCACACTCCACCCTCACACACCACTCCACCCCTCACACTCCACCCTCACCTCTCCACCCTCACACTCCACTAACGCCACACTCCACCCCTCACACCCACCCCACACCACCCACCCCTCACACTCCACCCTCACACTCCACCCTCACACTGCACCGCCACACACTCCACCCCTCACACCCACCCTACACTCCTACTAACGTCACACTCCACCCTCACACTCCACTAACGTCACACTCCACCCCTCACACTCCACCCCTCACACCACTCCACCTCACACCCACCCCTCACACCACCCACCCCTCACACTCCACCCTCACACTCCACCCTCACACTGCACCGCCACACTCCACCCTCACACTCCACCCTCACACCCAACCTCACACTCCACCCCTCACCTCCACCCTCACACTCCACCCTCACACTCCACCCTTACACCTCTACTAACGTCACACTCCACCCTCACATCACCCTACACTCTACTAACGTCACACTCCACCTCACTCTCCACCCTCACACTCCACCCCTCACCCTCCACCCTCACACTCCACCCTGCACTCTACTAACGTCAAGACCCACCCCACCTCTACTAACGTCACACTCCACCCTCACCTCCACCCTCACCTCCACCCCTCACACTCCACCCTCACACTCCAATTCTTACACTCTACTAACGTCACACTCCACCCCTCACACTCCACCCTCACAACACTCCACCCCTCACACCCCACCCTCACACTCCACCCTCACACTCCACTAACGTCACACTCCACCCACAACACTCCACCCTCACACTCCACCCTCACACCCAAGCACCCCTCACACACTTCACCCCTCACACTGCACCCCTCACCTCCACCTCACACTCCACCCTCACCCTCCAACCTCACCCTCCACCTCACACTTCACCCTCACACTCCACCCTTACACTCTACTAACGTCACACCTCCACCCCTCACACTCCACCCTCACACTCCACCCCCTCACACTCCACCTCTTACACTCTACTAACGTCACACTCCACCCTCACACTCCACCCCTCTACCCACCCTTACACCTCTACTTCAACGTCACACTCCACCCTCACACTCCACCCCTCACAACACTCCACCCCTCACACTCCACCCCTCACACTCCACCCCTCACACTCCACTAACGTCACACTCCACCTCCTCACACTTCACCCTCACACTCCACCCCTCACACCCACCCCTCACACTCCACCCTCACACTCCACCCTCACCCTCCACCTGGTAATTGCAGGCTTTAATCTCACTAATTAGGTGATAAGGATTAGTATTTGTTATAGAACTCTGCTGAATTATTATTATCATTATTATTATTATTATTATTATTATTATTATTATTATTATTATTATTATTATTATTATTATTATTATTAAATAAAAAGGGTTAAATTGGCTCCCTGTTTCTATATCAGTAAACTAAGCTTCTGATTGGCTAGTCTACTTAAACACACACACACACACACACACACACGGACATTACTCAGGTATTTGGGTATTTAATTAGTGTACAGAACCATAAGTAACTAGATAGTATGTTTACACCTGTACGCACGCCCCCACCACTAGAGGCGCTGTCGTCATTAGTGTTGCCAAGGTGACCCGTAGAGTGGAGTCTCCCGTCTTGGTAACTCTTTTTATAATATAATTGAAACTTCTAAAACAATTTGTCCCTGTTAACAATATTTCATATACAATAAAACCTCCATATAACGGACTTCTCTCTCCTCATGTTGTTCGTTAGATGGGGGAGTTTATATTTAATAGACCCTCTGTATAACGGATTTTCACATCTATATAGTTCGTTATGCTTGATGTTTCATAACGGACCCTCGATATACCGGACTTTCCTCTCCATATTGTCCGTTAAATAGAGGTTTTACTGTATATGAGACTTATTATCCGTTATCCATCAGTGGTGTCTCTCTGTCTGACGTTAGTATGATTAATTGTCTCCTCCTGAGTGAGAATTTATAACTTGACCTCAAACAAATAAAAGGTCCATTAATATTCTACAAGTAATGAATAAAAATGGAAAATAAAATATACACTTCATTTATTATCATTCACGAATCTTATTGGTTAGTTTAACAGCCAGAGTTTGTTTAGACGTCATTTTCCCCGTATTTTATTGGTTAATACATCAACCAATCAGAGATCATTATTCACTAATACAAAACCCTGATTCAAGGGAGTTAATTTAACCCTATTTAAGCCTTAAGGACCAGTACGTGACCCTGATGTATCCAGGTCTTCAGGTACGTCATGCATTAATTACGGATTATATTACCACCATTCTTTTTTTTATTTTGCCAGATAAGCTTTGCAACTTTTGTATTTATTTATGGCTGCTGCGCTTTATTTATCTTATTATTTAAGCTTACAATCAAGAGAATGGTACAGCTTTTGTAACACTGGATAGGGAGTGTGTGTGTGTGTGTGTGTGTGTGTGTGTGTGTGTGTGTGTGTGTGTGTGTGTTGAATTATATATATACACTGTTACATTATAAAGTAGATTATGATATTTACTTTTAAAACTCTCTCACTCTCTCCTCACTCACCTCTCCCCACCTCTCTCCCCCACACGCTGATCAGGTTAACTAGTTTTTGCCTGAATATGATTGAGGGAAGGGAAAAAAGGATGAAACATTTTTACCTGCAGGAAAGAACCATTTTGTTTCTCTGTTTATGCACCAAAGATCAACACAACTTTGTCATTTCTTAGTATCTCAGGTGTTGTGTTGTGTTGTGATGTTGTCTGTCAGGTTTCCTTAGCCTCTCAGTCACGTTCTTCAGTAACCAATTCAAGTATGATCACAAAGCTACGTCTTATACTGTACATACATACATGCATACATACATACATACATGCATACATACATACATATATACATACATACACTCTCACTAATGAAATGAATATGAACAAAATAGTAAATTCTTAGGAAGGTAATGACGTCAGACGGGGGACTGTGTGTGTAAGATGCACTGTGATTGGTGGACAAGTTTATAAGGTGTGAGGCTATTGGTTGGCTGATAACTGCGGTGAGGTGAGAACTCATTAACACCTGGGCATTATACCATAGTGCCCAGGTGACGTAAGTAAGGAACTGATAAAGATGAAATAAAAATTAGTTATTTTTAGTTTTTTATACGAAATATTTATAATAATTAAGACAATATTAATACACACAAAAAATAATAAAACAAACAAACATAAAAGTGAGATAAAAATATACTAAATTATTTAATTTTTTTTAATGCGTAGAACAAATCAAACTAAAATAAAATTAAAACGAATTATTAATATTTTTTTCGACACAAGAGAAATAAATAAAATAGACCAGTATTTAATATAAAGAATATAATCAAGATATAAAACACCGTATATACATGTTGAGTTGTGGTGTGTCGTGTTGTGTTGTGTTGTGTTGTGTTGTGTTGTGTTGTGTCGTGTCGTGTCGTGTTGTAGGAGATATTACACACAACACTGCACCACATTCACCCCTGTAATAAACTTCTCTAGACAGAATATGAAGAAGACTCACTTATTTTGGCTACATTTTTTTAAGATACATTTCTTTCCATTATTATCTGTATAAATGTTAGTCGTGGTGTTTGTTTGTTTGGGGGAAAATAAAATAAGTGTCTTTAAATGTGGAATTAGTTAGATATGAATGTATTAAGTGAGTTATAATTAAGTGGTAAGGGGTGTTTTGCCTTACCGTGTATAGATATAAAAGAGAGAGAGAGAGAGAGAGAGAGAGAGAGAGAGAGAGAGAGAGAGAGAGAGAGAGAGCAATAATGTTACTGAAGATAATAATCCTAGCTGTGATGGCGCTAGTGAAGCTAATCCTGGCTCCCATCTACCCCTAACTGTTTGTGGCGCTGCTGAAATTAATCCTATACTGTACTGAAGTCTATCATAGCTGAAGTCAGTCTTAGCTGAAGTAAATCCTAGCTGAAGGCATTTCCAGCTAAAGTCAATCCTAGCTGAAGTAATTTCCAGCTGAAGTTATTCCCAGTTAAAGTCAATCCCAGTCTTAGTCAATCCTAGCTGAAGGCATTTCCAGTCTTAGTCAATCCTAGCTGAAGTTATTCCCAGCTGAAGTCACTCAAGGCTGTACCTGAAACTGAAGTCGATCCTGGCTGAAATCAGTGTTAGCAGGAGTTAAATTTGGCTGATATAATTCGTAGCTGAAGTCAATCGTAGCTAAATTTATTCACTGTTGAGGTCAATCTTGGCTGAAGTCACTGATATTTGTAATGAAGATGAAGAAACTAATGTTGTAGCTGAGATGAGAGACGAAGGAGCTGAGATCAGAAGTTATGGAGCTGAGATTAGAAGTTAAGGAACTGAGATCAGAAGTTTAGAAGCTGAGATCAGAGGTTAAGAAGCTGTATTCGTGTTCCATTACCTCACTCACGGTCCTGTAATACTCCACTATCATTCGTCTGAACTGAAGGAAATGAAAGACATTCTATCAGGGGTTTGAAATAATAATAATAATAACGTGTAAGACTTAGTTTGAAATAAGTAACATGATTGAAATATAGACAATACTTATATCTTACTTAAAACAACGTGAAAGTAATATATTGATATGCCTTAAAAAATGGAAAATAAAAATGGTATTAAAATTCTGAACGCGT